TCCCTCTGGGGCCGACGGGGCTGCTGGGTTCGGCCTCGTGCACAGGGACCTGACCCGGGTGGGCCTGGCAGGGTCCATGTGCTTCTCCCGTGGCCACCCGCCCAGTCCCCCCAGCGGGGGGTCCCCGGAGAGCCGGGGGTCGGGGGCTCTGGCTCTGCCCCGCTCAGGCCGCGTTTGCCCCCAGGTGGAAAGGTGAGAACGTCGCGACGACGGAGGTGGCCGAGGCCCTGGCTGCGCTGGACTCGCTGCAGGAAGTCAATGTCTACGGGGTCGCCGTGCCAGGTACCCCCCCAGGCTGGGTTCCCCTGCTGCCCCCTCCCCCGCAGGCTGCTGCCAGGGGCTCCCCAGGAAAACGGGAAGCCGGGGCGGGGGGTACAGCTCCCTCCCAGTGGGAGAATGTCGGGGTGGGGGGAGGTTCTGTCCCTTCTGTCTCCTCCCCGCGCCCAGCACAGTCTGGGCCCCCCCCCCACGGTGTTCATTGCTCCCCCTCTCCCCCAGGGTACGAGGGCCGGGCTGGGATGGCCGCCATTGTCCTGCGTCCGGGCTGCGAGCTGGATGGGGCCCGTCTGTACAGCCACGTGGTGGAGTTCCTGCCCCCCTACGCCCGGCCCCGCTTCCTGAGAGTGCAGGTAACGCTCGCCGGGCACCGGGACCATGGGGTGGGGAATGCAAACACCACCGGCCTCCCCATCAAAGGCTTGGAAATGACACCCTGGAGAAAGTTGCAGCTGCCTCTGGGGTGGGGCAGGCTGGCTGTTTATACAGGGATCTCTCACCTGGGCTGAGATGCGGCTGACTCTGGGGCGGGGCGTGTTGAGAGCACCCAGCACAACAGCTCGGGCTGGTGAAGCTGTATTGGGGGGGGGGGGGGTTCCGGCCGGCTAAAGGGCCCGGGAAAAGCACCAGGAAACGCCGGGGGGGGGGTCAGCCAGCAGGCGCCCCCCACCTCTGGCACCCGCCCCCCCCTCCCCCCCCCTTGCCTCCAGCAGGGCCCCCCCCGTCCCTGCAGCCCCCGGCTGAGCTCTGACGCGTCTCCCCTCCCCGGCAGGACCAGCTGGCGATGACACAGACCTTCAAGCAGCACAAGGTGCGTCTGGCCAGCGAGGGCTGCGACCCCACGCGCCTCCCGGACCCGCTGTACCTGCTTGACGACACCTCGGGGGCCTACGTGCCCCTGACCCCGCGGCTCTGGGAGGGTGTCGTCTCGGGGGCTGTCCGGATATAACCCCCCCGCCCCACCTGCCTCGGGCTCCCTCCGGTGGGGGTCACCTGGGGAGACTACGAGTCCCAGCATGCACCACTCAGCACCATTGCATGCTGGGAGCTGTAGTCTCTTCTGGGTGCTCAGGGGAGCTGCGCTTCTTGGCCAGGGCTCTGGGGTGCTGCCTGCCCCCGGGGGGGGAATGGGGCTCAGGTGGCTGCAGGATTTTTCCCACGTTGCAGCCCCTGGTCCTTCCAGTGCCCCCCCACCCCCTGCGCCCCATGTTTGTCACCCCCCCACTTCCTGGCCCCCCCTCCCCTGCGCACACCCCACTCCTCTGCCCCAGGGGGCTGGAAGCCGGGAGCTCGGCCCTCTCGTTCTGGCTCACCCCCGGGCCTGTCTCCAGCAGAGCGACGCCCTGGGTGCCGGCTGGGAGCCGTGTCCTCCATCATCCCCCCTCCCCACACTCGGGGGCGGCTCCCCCGTCACGGGATCTCCCTGCCCAGGGCATTGGGTCACACAGCGGGGGGGGCGCTGGGGGGGGACTCCAGGGAGCTGGATTCGGATCCTGGCTCCACCATGACCTGGGGGGGCCTCGGGCTGGTCCTTAAGCTCCCAGCCAGGCCTCCGGGAGAACGGCCCTGCCTCCCCCCCTCCCGGGTCTGGCTGGGCTGTTCCGAGTGCGAGATGGGCCCGCAGGGACCGACCCTGGCTGCAGCCTGGACAGTCTGTGTCCGAGGAGTCGCCGGGCGTCCTTTGCCCTTGGGGCCGGGGGGGGGGGGGGGGGGGGGGGGGGGTCCCGGGGGGGGGAGGTTTGTACTTTTTATACCTTTTGGCAAATAAAACATTGTTAACAAAGCGTGTTGCTCTCTCGTGACCCCCCCCCCTTTGCCCCTGGGCCTGGGGGCGCCCCCCCCAGCACCTCCCCGTGGCACTGGGGTGCGCTGACCCCACCCCTGGGAGCCCCCCCAGCACCTCCCCGTGGCACTGGGGCGCGCTGACCCCACCGCTGTGGCTGGGCAGCCTGGAGGTCGGTTTAGGGGCCCAGCGGCTGCCCAGGGAAGGGGGATGCACAGGAAGGGCCCAGGCCAAGCCCAGAGCCTCGTCCCGGGCACCTGCACCTCCCCCATTGGCCTCCAGGTGCC